GGCAGCATATACTGAGAGAGGATCTTCGACGTTTCGCGTGGCGATCCGACCCCCAGTTGCAATAACGCAAAGATATGAAGGGCTGATCTGCTGGCCTGAATTACCACGTAACCACGTCCATCTTGCGCAAGGCTGACCGCATCACCAAGCCTGACGATGAGGACGTAGATGATGAGCCGAAGGAGCAGCCACCGCTACTACTTGGAGCCTCGGACATTCCAGTACCCAAATTGACTACCAAGCAGGTTCCTTTCTTGCGTGCTTATCTACAAAGAGGCACCATCACTGGACACAGACTGCATTATATCACTAAGAATCCAGCCCACATGAAGTGCCCGTTCTGCCTCGCCCCCGACGAGACCACGCAGCACATCATATTGGACTGCCCCAGATGGGAACCACAACGAAGGGCGCTCCTGGACAGCTACACGCGAGAAGAACTTCTTGCGCTACCGACGTGCCTTTTGTGTTGTGGTCAACTCCCAGACAAGCCAGAATACGACGCATTTGCATGCGAGCTACTTCCAGATGATCCTCCTCTACGTGCACCGCCACATCACGCTGACGGCGAGTACGAAGTGGGAGAAGATGAAGAAGGTATTCTCACCAAGATCGACGGTTTCACTGTGGTAGCAGGGGACGGGTCATGTCCTGGCCAGGCGTCCGACTTGCGCCTCCGCAGGTCGGGGTATTCACTATACTACGGCAGGGGGGCATCCTTGCAATGTTGAAGTACCCCTACGCAGTGTGGCCCAAGGCGCTCAGCGCGCCGAGGTCGCAGCACTCCGCCACTTCGTGGCATGGAGCTGGGGCAGACAGATCTACTTGACTGACAGCAGCTATTGTGTTCGCAATTTGTCTGCACTTCTTCGAGGAGAAACATTGCGCACCGAGCAGCATGCCGACCTCTGGCAGGCCATCGAGACTGGACTCAATGCCAAAGGACGTGAGCTATTTCGGATTCAGAAGGTCAAATCTCACCGACGTGAGCGAGACATTCCAGAAGATGAACGCCACCTATGGGAGTTGAACAATCAAGCTGATGCTGGAGCTGCACGCGCGGCAAGGTCTCACGGCCTACCAGATGCGATTCGGCAACAACATCGACAAGAACAGAAGTTATGTTACCTCCTCCAGCACACAGCGACGGTCATTCTCATGCACCGAGCCAAGGGGCTGCAAGAGATGGGAAGGGATTCACATCATGCCAGGTGCGAGCAGGCTCAAGCTATGGAGCAAGCCGAACTTGATGGTCAACAACTTGTGCAACCTGGCGAGGATAATGAAGAGGATCCGTGGGCGCATCTGGGCATGGACTCGGACAACGAGCAACCCCAGCCACCGCCAAGACGAGCATCCTCGCCACCACCTCAGTCAGCATCTTCGGCCCCATCACCTTTGCGAAGGCGCCGACTAGTATGCAAAGCACCTCCAGAAGCAGACCAGACAGCAACCACTCCTTGGGGGCCCAGCTCTTCATCGAGCGCGAGGCCCCAGGTGGCATCGACTGGTCTGGCCCTAGATCAACCCATCACGAACCCAACGAACTGGTCCCCGAAGGCTGCCTTTCCAGGTTACCAATGGGATCCAATCCAGCCGAATATACACGAGTGGAAGTTCAAGCCGATCCTACCCGAGACGGTCGCTATTCGAGCTTGGTACTATCAGCAATCTTTATTCCCAGCGGTGGTATGGTACTTTTCACAACTGCAATGGGAAGCAGATGACACAGTGCGAGCTCCGATGTCTGTATCCTGGGTTGAGCTTGCCATCGACTTCACTATTGTAACTGGCCTCCCTCTCGTCACTCCACAGGAGAGTGCCAGTGATGCGAAGATTGTGCGCATGGCCAGATACTTCAGCACTGCAGCAACGAGAATGGCTCAATTGTGCAAGTGCAAACTGGCCCCACGCGAGACCTACGCCGAGATAAGCGCTCTGATACCTCTTGGACTTCGGAAAGCTCCAGGGTTCAAATGTCGAGCGGCCTTCTTGGCCCACCAGCACACGATGAAGGTGATCTATGCCTTGGCCCTCGCCTCCACAGATCGCAAAGGCAGCCTAGACGTCCGTCCTGATTGGTGCTCGCCCCCGAAGCCGATCTGGAACGTTCCACGTCTCCAGGAAAATATCGCCAAGACTGTTCGAGATAGTGATCTTTCCACACGGGCCATGCAATCTGTGGCAGCGCTCGCGGAGAGAGAGGTACCCACACCAGGAATGCCGTATCGGTCCAGAAGCTGCGCAACGTGGTTACCTGGACGCCAGAGGAGGAGCGAGAGTTCCAAGGCCTACAAGGACGAGCTCTCACTGATGAACAGAAACGGCTTCTCCACAACCGAGAGGCCCGACAGCAAGGCTATCATGTGCTTGGGCCGCTCACTGGAGCTAGGCGCGACCAAGACCCGCACTTGTACTGCATCCAGTGCGGGTTCACCACTGCGGGGATTGGTCGTTTCAGTTCGTGGCCTCGCTTACTTTGCACGCCTGGAGTTCTGCCAGCAGGGCCACACCAATGCGGCCAGAAGCGAACGCCAGATGATTATAACCAATTGATTGTGGAACACAACAAACGTACCGAGACACCAGGCAACCGATGCCATGTCCTTCTTCCTTTTCGACAAGCACGTGTTGGCCAGGAGCTCGAGTGCATGAAGTGTTCCAAGCAGACTGCCAAGAGGAAGTTGTTCGAGTTCTGTGCAGCCATCTGCTCGGGACGATAGCACATTTCACCATTACATTTCCCACGACCTTGAGTGTTTGACGCAGGTCGTGAAGTCGTTCAATTTTACATATCCCACGGCCTTGAGTGTTTGACGCAGGTCGTGAAGTCGTTCAATTTGCATGATGGCCATTGTGTGACACAGTGGGCTCAGTTGTATCGTACTTGCTCGTCTACAAGAGGGAGCAGGTCTATGATGTTTCGCAATTATGTTGCTACCGCGGACGTGCGCCAAGGTAGATATATGGACCATGTGTGGAGAACGCTCCGTTTGGGAACAATCATGCCGAGCATCACCTTTGGGCGATCGTGTCTGTATGCGCGAGAGGAACATGCTGCGGACTAGACGGCGGTCAATGAACACCCTACCTGGGGAGAGGGGGGAGCATCCATGCAGTGGACGCGAAAGCAGGGAGAGGACGAGGAGGAACGGCGGGTGCGGGAAAAGGGGACGAGGAAAAGGGGGAGCGTGGCGTGGAGGATGCCGGAGGCAAGGGGATGGGGAGGAGGGGGAGGAAGGAAGGAAGGGAGGGAGGGATGGGGGAGGCGTGGGGGGGAGCGGGGAGAGGAGGAGGGGGTCAACACAGAGGGCCTTGTCCTCGCCTCCTCCTCCCCTTTCGCCTGCTCCTTTCCTTAAGGCGCCTCGCCGCATCCCCCCTTCTTGCGACCCGCTCCTGTCCTCCTCTCCGTCGTCCTCTCTTCTCCCCTCCTCCTGGTCCTCTTCGTGCTCCCACGCTCATTCCAGCCTCCTCCTCTCCCTTTGTCCGCGCTCCTCTCCCCTCCTCGCCAGCCACCTGCCGACTTCAGTCGAAGTCTTCTGCAAGGAGTCTGGAATGAGAAGCAACGCCCCTCTCTTTGCCCCCAGCAGGGCTGAGACTCTCGAGTCGGAGGGATGTCCGAGGGGACGACCAGTGGAACCCGAAGCCCCGTTGCCAACTAGAGCGCTCCTTATCCCAAGCAATGGGCCGTGCAACTTCGGCATAAAAGGAAGACATGCAAGCGTGAGGGGGAACGTTGCTGGCTCAGGGGCGGAAGCCTCGAGCTGGAATCGGCGGTACAGGTGATGGGCCTGCGATGGCGATCCCACGCTCCTGGGCGGGGTGGGCTGTCAGGCCCTTATCGGCGATGAATGGGCGATTTGGGGCCGTTGCGTCCCCCCCTTAGCCCATCCCCCGCTGAGGTTGTTCCTGAAATAGGTCCTCTACCTGGCGGCTTCCCCCAGGCAAGTTCTCCTTCTATAGTCTCACTTGTTGACAGCCCCCCTGGCCTGGGAAGGCCCCCGAGGACGCCAACAACAACGAAACATCTACGGGCTAAGGCTACGTTCCAGGAATGCAGGAGTATCTAGCAGCCCTCGTTTCTGCAGCCTGCGCAGAAAAATAAGACATCTGAGAACATCGGAAGCTATCCTTATAATGACTTCTTGCGCCTCTGACTCAGGACCCACTCCCAGACATCCGACGATGCCATCTTTCCAATCTGCGGTCCCTGGTGGTCTCGAGCTCGTCCTCCAGGGGCACTGCTCCGTCCTGGGATGATGATTGATGGCCTCTGGGCGCAGAAACGACCCCATGAGGCGCCGAAATCAGGCAACAAAATCACCGTAATTGGAAACGCCGATCCGCCCGAGGTCTCTGATGGGAAGATTCGGGGGAGACTGACTCAGAAGGGGAACCATCGACGTGAAATTTGGCGATACATCTGCGATAGATCGGCGGTAGGCCCCCGACAGCGAATCCGCACGCTCCAGGTCATGGGCATGGTGGGCTAGCGGGCCCCTGTCGGCGATAAAAGGGCGATTGGGGGTTGACGCATCCCCCCTGGGCCTACGGCCGGTCCTAAGACAGAAGAACACTCTTCAAGGACATGAGACCCTCCGCCAGCCAAACTCAAGAACATTCGAGGGCTCCCTCCCCCAGGATGCACAAGTACATCCAAGAAGCACGTAAAACATCAGGGCACCCTCCCCGAACCCACCTCGATCTTATACCTCGGTCCGACCGAAGCAATGACCCTGAGAGGACGGGGACCAAGGTCAGGTCGGGTCAAGTCAGGCAGCCCTCGAAAGCTTCTCAGTGAGAAGGCTACCGGGGGGGTGAAGCATTCAAGCCCCAGCCCAAATCCCCCAAGTATGGGGGCAGCAGGACACGGAACACAACAAGCTCTGACTGGTTCAGCTGAACACCAAGCCCATGGCGGGGACCCAGGGGACCGCAGGAGGAGCAGAGCGGCGGCGAAGATCCCATCAGCGAGAGAGGCGCCCTCCCGCCCGACGCCATTTTTTTGCACGCCGGCGGTCCGCAGAGGTCTGCTGGCCCTGCGTGTGGCCACGACGGGCACAAACAGGACGAGACACAGCCCGCGCACGGGTGCCGTCCAGGAGCGGGCGGCGCTTTCACAGGGGAGATGTCGACCCCCCATCCTAGGCTCCGTGGGGTCGTCGAACTTTTCGGGCGGAACTTGGGGATTTGGGGAGAAAAATCCCCTGCGACGATGGGCAGTAAGCGGAGAGGGGAAGGTCAAGTGCACCTTTCGTGCGTCTTCGGGGCTACATGGGACCAATCTCAGGGCCCTTTCGGTCACGCTTCCTGCAACCCTCGAGCCGCCCCTCCCCCCGACACCATTTCTGCAGAGTCCTCCCAGCTGGGGTCGGAATAGGTGCATCGGCGATGCATCGGCGACGTCGGCGATGTATCGGCGCGGTCGGCGTGGAGAATTTCGGGCTCCACATCGAACCGCATCGAGGATGAATCGGCGATGCCGCGCGATCCCCCCTGGCGCCATCTGCTCGGACCCTGTTTCGGAGGCCCGGGCTGTCGCCCCCGTCACGACACGCACGATGGGGTGCTGCGCGGGTGTGTGGCGCCGGGGCGAAATGTCCTCCGGAGAGCCGCTCGCGCGGCCGGGCCGGCTCGCCGTGCAGAGCGCAGCAGCATGATTCGGTATCGTATTATTCCGCCGCTCCGTGGTCCGCGGGAACCAGCTGCCCCCCGCCTGCCCGGGGTGAGAGGGCGTGTGGCATGCCACCTCTCCTCCTCCTCCTCCTCCTCCTCCTCCTCCTCCTCCTCCTCCTCCTCCTCCTCCTCCTCCTTTTCCTCCTCCTCCTCCTCCTCCTCCTCCTCCTCCTACCCCTCCGCCTCTTCCTTCTTCTCCTCCTCCCCCTCCCCTTCCCCGTCCTCTTCCTGCCCCTCCTTGTCGCCGACTGGTCGGCGGGGCGGTGCCAGCCTGTTGAGAGCAGGCAGCGAGCGGGCGCTCGACACCCTCTCGGAACCGAGTTTTGCTCCATGTTGGCCCCTCGTGGGCCTCCAAGATCGACTCCCTGGGCCCCAGGAAACGCCTCTTCGGCTCCACTTCGCCGACTGGTCGGCGCCTCCCCGCCTGGCCTGGGGGTCGCCCGGGGGCTTCTTTTTTGAAACAGATGTCCCGCCTCGTCGGGGGCATCCTTACACATCGGAAGCCTTGGTAGGTTCCGACAAGAGGTTCGTGTCAGGACGACCCCAGCGCTGGTTTCTGACGCCGCGTGGATCCTGAGACTTTCTTCGATCGGCGGGGTTTCGATCGTCAATTCGCTCCACATTGACCGATTCTGGGCCGCTGGCGGCCCTGACCCTTGAACGTGCGCGCTAGGGGGTCATCGCCTCATCGACACAACACGAACCTGCCGTACTAGTACGCCGTTCTGGACGCGCTCAGGGTTCCACTTTCGGACGATTCTGAGCTGGACTGGGCTCGGGCCCAACACGGGGCCGCACGCGCGTGGGCCGTCCAAAGACTTTCGGGGCCCCATCGGCCCCTTCTGGCATCCTGATTTGGCGCTCCTGTGGGCCTCCGGGGTCGTCTCATCGTATGGTCTTGGGCTCGTTTTGTGCTCCTGTGGGGCCGCCTTGGGCTTTTACCTTCCGCCGTTCGCCCGCGGAACCGCCGCCGTGATATGCCCGCGGCTTCCGCGAGCCTTCTCCTCCGAGGGCGAGGATGCGCCAATGACGGGGCCCTCTCGGGAGCGTGCCATGCAGTCATCGTGTCACCCTCAGGAACGCTAAATAAGGAACGACCCTCCTCCTCCTCCTCCTCCTCCTCCTCCTCCTCCTTCTCCCTTCTCATCATCCCTCTCCCTTCTCATCATCCCTCCTGCCCCTCGATGTACAACTTACGACATAGTAAACATCACGAGTTCGCACAGGGAGTCCCGGATCGGCGGCACTGGCAGGAACCTCTGCAAGAGAGAACGATGGGGATTCTATGGCGGCAGCGAGCCACGGCCGCGAATGGGGTCCTCAAACTAGTGCGATCCAGGGAGCGGCCCCTCCTGAACCCCAACGTGGTCCCTGCTTCAGCGTCCGAACTGTGCATTCAGCCTGCCCTGGGGCCACGTTTGGCTCGTCAGGCGAGGGGTGGAAGGGGAGGAGGAGGAGGAGGAGGAGGAGGAGGAGGAGGAGGAGGAGGAGGAGGAGGAGGCGGAGGAGGAGGAGGAGGAGGAGGAGGAGGAGGAGGAGGAGGAGGAGGAGGCGGAGGAGGCGGAGGAGGAGGAGGCGGAGGAGGGGAAGGGGCGGGCGGTGAGCGTGGAGCGCCCAGAACGCAGGCAGCGAGCTGGTGCTCGGACACCGTGGGAAAAGGGCGCTCTTCTAGGCGATCAGCTCCGGGGCACGGCGGCTCTCTAAAAACAGAAGGGAAGTGCAGATCGACAGGTACATCAAAATGCGCATCCCACTGTGATGAAAATGAGGATTGGGCTGCAACTCGGCAACAGCTGCACGCAGATACAGGCTCCGCCCGTCGCCGCAGGCGGCCACGTTGGGCTGCTACTCGAAGTGGTCCTGACCATGAGTGTCCCCAGCTTTTCGCAAAATCCGCCGACCCTGTCGGCGTGTGGAAGACGCATCCCGGTGTCGTCGTCTTGCGTGGATCACGTCGTCGTCGTCGTCGTCGTCGTCGTCGTCGTCGTCGTCGTCGTCGTCGTCGTCGTCGTCGTCGTCGTCGTCGTCGTCGTCTCCGTCGTGTCCTCGTCGTCTCCGTCTCCGTTGTCCCTCGTCGTCTTCGTCGTTCCCCGTCTCCTTGAGCGCGCGAGCCAAAGCGACATTGAGCAACGTCGTAGTTGAGCAACGCTGGGGGGGGGGGGGGTCGCCGGGGGGGGTCGCCACCCAGATACGCATCCTCCCTGGGGGGTCCCGGAGCTCAGAAAAGCTTCAAGACGAGCCAAGAGCGCCAGAAGACACCCCCAAAAGGGTACAAGAGGGCCTCGACTCGACGAACGATCGCCCCAAGACGCCCAAGACGGCCCGAAGACGGCCCAAGAGGCCCTCAAGACGCTCCAAGAGAGCCCCAAGAGCACTCCCAAGAGGGCCCCAGGAGCCAAAATCGTCAATTTTACATCGGTTTTTGAATGATTTTGGCCTTCTCGCCTTTTCGGCTTTCCGACACTCCAAGACGGCCCAAGAGGCCCCCAAGAGGCCCCCAAGAGCGCACCAAGAGGCCTACAAGAGGGCCCCAAGACGGCCCAAGAAGGCCCCAGGACAGCCCAAGAGGCGCCCAAGACGGCCCAATAGGGCCCCAAGACGGGCCCAAGAAACGGCCAAGAGGGGGACGAGGAACCGAGAATTCGAGACTTCCGCCCTAAGAGGCCCCCGGGAAGCCCCAAGAGGCCCCCAAAAGGCCCCAAGAGGCCCCCAAGCGGCGCCAAGACGCCCCCAAGATGCGCCGAAGACGGCCTCCGGAAGCCCCAAGAGGCCCAAAAGAGGCCCGAAGAGGCCCCACAACGGCCCCCAAGAGGCTTCAAGTTGCCTCCCAGACGCCCCCGACAGGTCAACCACGAGATCCCAACCAACATCCATAAGGCCTCCTCCTCCTCCCCCTTCACCCTTCCTCCTCCTACTCCCTTCCGCCTCCTCCTCCTCCTCCTCCTTCTCCTCCTCCTGCCCCCCCCCTCGTGTTGTCTTTCGTCATCTTCAGGGTCGGCGGCAACGGCCGTAAGGCCTTCGCAATATTAAAATACCGGGGGCCCTCTGGGTCTCGTGAGGGGTGCTCCTGGGGCCGCGGGGGCGTCCTTGGAAATCCTGGGGACACCTTCGGCCAGGGACACCCAGATCACAAATGACTGGCAGGAGGAGGTGTTGGGGGTGGGAGGAGGAGGAGGAGGAGGAGGAGGAGGAGGAGGAGGAGGAGGAGGAGGAGGAGGAGGAGGAGGAGGAGGAGGAGGAGGAGGAGGAGGAGGAGGAGGAGGAGGAGGAGTAGGAGAGCGCGATCCCAGATTGCACCAACGCCGCGCGTGGCTGCTAGCCTGCGTATCATCAGCTTGTGAACACGAATGCCCTCCAAGAGTCAACACGGGGGACAAAACTGGACCTGACCAACCCTGGACCCCCGGACCGGGAGGAAGACCAGGGCTGAACCCAAGATGCGTCAACGATGCGGCAGTACACCTTCCCGTCCCAATCCCCCTCCCCACACGTCCTCGCAAGCGCTCCGATTCACAACAAGAGACGGCCCCTTGGAAGTCGAGCGCCGCATGGAACTGTCGTTCAGGTGAAAGAACCGTCTTGAACAGGAACTGCCTTGCCTTCTCCCAGCCAGTTGAAAACATGCGAGAAGGTAGAAACATAGCATCCAACAGATGTGTCCAACGAGAGCCCCCTTTCGGAAAGCAACGGCCCCCACCCAGACACCCGTCGCACCCATTTGCACTCCTGGTCGCCGAATCCGCGGAAGTCTGACGCGAGGGACGCATGTTGAAAAGGAGCATCCCCCGATCCGCGCAGTTGCCACATGTGGTCAACCCTCTGGCCGTTAGGTGCGAGGAAGTACCAAGTGAGCGGGAGAGAGGGAGCGAGAGATAACACAAACAAACAACAACAAGAAGAAAGAGAGCGAGAGAGAAAGAGAAAGAGAACATCGAATTACGGACATATGTCGTTCTTCATCCTTGACATGTCTGCCAATTGTATTACAGAACGATAATGCGCGGCGCTTCGGCGATACTACCATTTTGAAAACGCCCCCCCCCCACACCATCCGTGTAACCGTTGCACGCTTTCAGCGAGGTGTGTACGGCGCTGAGGCGAAAACCCAAGTTTGGAAAGGGGCAGCGATACATTATCGCAGCTGTCGCAAACGTTTAACACACACATGTGCGCGGCGCTACGGCGAGAGCACCCTTTTCGGAAACGACCCCCTCCTCCACCGTAGGCGAGAGCCTCATTCTGAAAACGACCCCCTCCATCCGTGTAGCTAATGCATCCTTTTAAAACGAATTGGCGTGGCGAAGCGGCAAGAGCCCCATGTTGA